CCGAATTATTGTTTTATAAGCTAAGTTTCAATGTATATTGAACTCTCGGCACCCACACCAGAGATGTTACTAGTAGATATTCTAACTTTATAAAACAATGTATGGTGAAACAAAAATTACAAGAAAACATTGCTTCTCGAAAATTTAGTTTTTTTCGATAGGAATAAAGGTATGCAATTTTCGCATATTATACTCATTTATCATATTTTATTTACCCTTCAATAACTCCGATTGTACACGACATTTTGTAGATACTTAACCAATTTCCCGCTTTATTAGTACAAAGTGAAATGATTAATTTCGTGAAAAATCGCCCAATTTAACAAACTGTAGAATATGTTGAAAAATGATGAGAATTTATTTAATTAACGGTAACACGCACAAAAATTGGATTCTGCAGATGAATATTGCTGATGAAACGCGAATTTTTCAGCTTATTTTCGCTTTCGTCCTGTTCTCTCTCCCTTTATGATTAGAAAAACCAAGGATAGGCCAAAACTATGTTATATTAAATTTATTTCTCAAATTATTTCACTAACAAGATAAAAATAAAATTTTAATTTACACCTAACATAAGCTTGGGTAAGAAGAGAAACATTTAGGTTGGAAATTTGTATATCCTGGGTCGTAATTTGGACTCAATTATACACCCAGCTGAGCTAATCACACGATACAAATTTATTGGACAAAAATCACTCAATAAAGCTGCAAGAAAGAAAGACGCTCAGGGCCTATAAACAAAACATGCGATAGATTGAATCAAATTTAGACGAACATTCTAATTACCTTAAAGAGTTAATAATCCTTCCGGTCATAACTCGATTTTATTTAACTGACTCAAAAAAAACACAAAACAGTTAAGAATCTTCACTTCTTTACTTTCACGTGATTCTTGATTTAAACAAACTGGCTTTCTTGTAATTTAAATTGTAAATGTGACTTTTTGGTGGTGGATAAGACCGCTTTATCGAGTACTTGGGAAAACCTTACAGAAAGGATCCACTTACAACGTCTGCTACGTCTATTTAACAACTCTTTCCTTCTTGCAATTTTCAGATGATGCTTCTTTATCATACTTAACATTAGCCAATCAACTCCACTAGAAAAGGCAGCCGACTCCCCTCTCTTTCTAGGCTGACTGCAATATGCGTCATCGATTAACTGCTTGCGTTTATTTACGGCGAACGCCTACTTATCTCCAAATTATTTATCTTTTACGAACCCATAACGAACTCCTTATTGCATGGCTTGATTTAAATAAAATACACTTTCAGAAAACACTTAACGCAATTATTTCCAGATGTCCCTAACCTTTCTTAACGTAATCTACTGA